TCCTAGGCATATTTAATAGAATAATCCCTCTGTAGTTTTGCATTCATTCTTGTTACATTTCTCCTTGTATAAGGTAACAATGACATCATTCTTCCAATCATCAGACATAGGTGTAGCCATCACCCACACATTAAACAAGTTGTGCAGAATCACATATAGATTCTGATATTTATCCAGTGACACTTCTATTATTCTATCAATATGTCCAAGTTTACAATTTTTTAAAGTTCTCAAAGTATTTATGATTTCCTTTTCACCAATTATTTTCTTGGACACTAATTTTTATAACATTCAACTCTACTCTTTAACATACCATTCTGATATAGATCTCTAAAGTACGCCTTCCAGGATTCCCTTACTTCAGTTTAATCCCAAATAATGTCATCATTTTTATGTTTAAATCCATGCACTCTGCCAGAGGTCCCCCATTTAGCTATTTTCACTTGCTCCCCAAACATTTTTTTTTATTTCCATCAAAATTGTTCTACATTTTCTCAACCTCTTTCAATGTTAGCAATTCCTTGTTTTCTTTGACAACGTTCTTTACAGCTATTTTGTCTATAGACACATTTTTCAATATCTTTCTCTCATCCTCAATTTTTGCAGCATTCTCTTATATGAATTTTTTTCTTGTTGACAGCCTCTTTCACTTCATACCACTGTTTCATACTTCCCATTTGTATAACTCGTATAATTTATTAGGCAGTTAATAATTGAGTAAATAATAATTGAGTAAATAAATAAAACTCCACATCTCCTATGCCAGTTAGGAACGTCATTTTTACTCAGTTCTAAGCAGCTTCCAGGGCATCTTTCATAATCTACTTTCCATTCATTCAATTGAATTTATCTTCTAATATTTTTCCATACAGGACTCATACTTTCCCTTCCTATCATTTTACTTTTATTCTTTTCACTAGTTTTCTTTCATGCCCATTTTCTTCTCAAGATCCACTCTTGACCTACCCCCCCCCAAAAAATCTCATTAAACTATATTCCTTCATGTATGCATGAATAAGCCTCATGTTTAAGGCACATATTTAAAACAGACCTCTTTCTAAACAAATACTTATTAAACTGTCACTATTCTTACCCTGTCTTGGATCTCTGAAGGGCCCAGTCTCTTTTTCTGTACTCTCTAATCTCATTCCCACTATCCATTTGTGTCCTAGCAAAATAAGTTTTCCCTTGAATTGCACTCATGCCAAAAGTTGCTCTATTTTGCTCAAAACTTTTTCCATTTTCACCATTTACTGGCATGTATCATGCAGCTGTTAACAACCAATGGATTCCTGCTTTCCTACACAGTCATAACAATCTGGATAATACCAGTTCATACTTTCTGACATACATTTCAGCTCCTTTGTTCATAACTAAACTATTTCTTCACTTCAACTCTACTCTACAAGATCAATCACCCTCATTTAGATCTATTGCATCCTTCCTGTTTCTCTTCAAACAGACACAGAAGATACCTGTTTTCTTTCTCTGATTTGAGTCATCAAGTCATGCAGTTTAGCATTTCCTCTTTCTACATTCTAAGTCACAAATCTTCCATATAACATGTTCATCACCAAACAGCTCCATAGATATGACCTCTGCTGCCCACTATGGCTTTGGTCATCAGGCTTTCCCAAAACACTTCTAGTAAGGCTTTTTTAGTGTTTGTACCCAGGCCAAAGTCAGTGCTTATGCTTTGTGTCAACCAGCAGCCAGAAAAATAAGGCAGAATCAACAACCACTTAAGCCTAAGTCTTAAGGAAAACCCATCTTGTGTAGGACTGTTAATATCCATATTGTGCGTTTTGCTGCTTTTTAAAATGAATTGTAGGCCACCTTGCAAATGTTGGTATAAGCAAAACTAGCCCCTGCTCATCCCTTGAGAAATCTCCCATTTGAATCTGTCTTGTGCCTGGCAGGTAGATCAGGACCTTTTATCTTGACAAATGAGAACCCAATTTTAGCATACTGGTTTCTTTACTCTTAAAAAATGCAACCCCTGTCATTTTTCATACTTCAGTTATAATTACTCATTTCATTAACCAAACAGTACGACTTGCAACGAAGTGTTGCAGTGTAGAGTACTTCTCCTAAAGGCACCCTGTTCCAGAATCCCATCTTCCATTCCCTTTCTTCCTTATCTGCCCATGTGGTGATGAGGAAGTTGAAGCTGTCTCACACGTATTATTACGTTGTAAATTTTATAGGGACATTAGGTCAATCTACATCTTGCCCCTAATAGATAAATTTGCTGGGAGGCCAGATTACCTTTATGTGAATCATCTTCTTCAAGATTTAAAATCATTCATTACTTGTACAGTAGCTAAATTTTGTGTTACTGCAGTGAAAGTAAGACAAAACTGGTTAAAGATATAATTACCTTTGATCTAAATATTATTTCTCGTTTGATACATCTTAATAAATTGTTAGGGATATATATATATATATCTTTTATTTCGTACTTATTAATGTTTTACATTTATACTACCAAGGGCAATAAATGTACCAATATAATAATAGAGGAGTGCTATACTATTGTGATTTATTTTGTTAGCTGTTAGTATATTATTATATTCATTTGCTTCACTCTGTTTCTTTTTTTTTTTTAATTTTGCTGGTCATTGACCAAATAAATATTGTATTGTTCCCTCTCTTCCTTTCCCCAGTCTCTCAATTCTCCA